GTATTATAAACCAGTCTAACCTACCGTAAAAGAACAATATACCCCGGTAGTAAACACAGCTGCTATCATCACCCCACCCCCATTTGCCAGTGACAAGAAAAGGAAAGTGACCTTGACTGTGACCGCCTGTGGCTATTTTTAGCCGTCCTTGTGTTCGGAGGTGATCAGTAATGCATATCTGTATATTTACTGATCATAATACTTATCTCCTATAAATAATTAATTTAAATTTTATTTTTTTACAAAGAATATTCAGTAAATGACTGCGTTAATTCTTGAAACTACCGACAGTGGTAAATTTAGGATGAGAATGATGAACAGAAGTCACGCCATGGATTCGAGTTTGGTCCTTAATGATCACCATAAATTTCTGGTCAACTTCACCTACCAGGTATAATGGTAGCCTCCCTTTTTTGCGAAACAAGTATATAAATTAAAGAAAATACTTGCAGTGTGTTTAATGTATTACAGTATATTATAAATACATAAACAAATAAATCGGCAAATCTATTTCAAGTAAATGGAAATATTTTACTGACACCAACATTAGTTCTAGTTAAATAACTGACGCTAAAGTGAGTCACTAGTGTACACCAGCCGGTAAAATTTGATGCCAATACTTGAAGTGAATTGGCATTATTTTAAATAACCAACCATAAATAAATGGAAAAAAGATCAGAGGTGAGAAACATCATATTGTATGTATGTTGTGTTGTCAAAGGAAGAGAAACAATTGAAACTCTGCAATTGTGTGTAAATGAGGCAGAAAGATAAATCAGCAACCTAAGACTTGGTCACAATTTTCGTGATGCCATATGGAAGAAGGATCTACCATTAGACAATACTGTACATTGTGCTTCCAATATCTTCCCAGACAGTAGAATCTCCCTGTTTGGTAGCTGCCTAAAACTTTTAGTAATATTACTTTGATACAACATGATAAATTAGACAAACAATGAAAATAAACAAACAAACAAAATTATTTACCAAGACCTCTCTGAGAACAGAGGGTAATAGATGGAGGGAAGATAAAGACGGCTATTTATAGCCTGTCTTTGTGTAGGAAGTCGACCACACTAGAAATAATTCATTTAAAATTTATATTTTTTACATAGAATATTCAGTACATGACTGCGATTATAAAATATTGTGAATATATATATGTTGTTCACTTTACGCGTTTCTCACTTTGAATTATATATATATATATATATATATATATATATATATATATATATATATATATATATATATATATATATATATATATATATATATATATATATATATATATATATATATATATATATATATATATATATATAATTCAAAGGAAAGAAAACATCAAAACAACATAACATATGGGATTAAATGAAATAGAGACCGGCTGACCCCCAAAGTCCACTTTTTCCGACACAATACCTATGTTCTAGTAAAAATAACATCTTAATTTTATGATGGTACATGCACACAATTAATACTTAAGAGAAATAGAGAAATACAGTCGCCAAGTTAATGTCCATTCAAATAATGGACTCAACTCCCTCCCCCTCTTCTCACACTACACTCACTGGTTCTTCCCTCTCTGAGAAATTTTTTTGGGAAAACCATTAGATTTTAAGGTATAGTAATAAATAATACCTCAAACTAAAGTTAGGATAGTATAATTGACATTGCTGGATTCCTTGTAAGACCAGGAATATTTTGAATATAAATGTCATATATTTTGCACAAGAGATAACACATTTACTCAGAGTAAACATTAGATCTAAAATTTGTATGTCTAATGCAAAATCTATGATGTTTATATTCAAAATGATCATCAAATTGTAAGAATTCCAGCAATGTAAATTATATTCTGGCCGGGTAATTTGTATGAATTTTATGAGCTAAAACAAATATCTTCAGTTAATAAAAAAAAAATATTCTTCACGACACTATCTGTCAATCAAAGTACCCCACCTTGCCTCCCCCACCCTCTTCCAACCGTGCCAGATGGTCGGTCAGTCCCTCCCTCCCCCCCACCCCCCACCAACCCTCCCTACCAGATAAATGTGTGGGAAAACCAGAATATTTACCTTTTTAGTAATAAATAATACCTCAGACTAAAGTTAGGATAATATAATTGACATTGCTGGATTCCTTGTAAGACCAGGAATCTTTTGAATATAAATGTCATATATTTTGCACAAAAGATAACATATTTACTCCGAGTAAACATTAGATCTAAAATTTGTATGTCTAATGCAAAATCTATGATGTTTATATTCAAAATGATCATCAAATTGTAAGAATTCCAGCAATGTAAATTATATTCTGGCCGGATAATTTGTATGAATTTTATGACCTAAATAAAAAAAAGTATACTTCACCCGCGTAAAGGGGTACACGCACCGCGGAGTGTCAGCATTCCGGTTTCGGCAAGGGGTACCGCGTAAACGCGGAATGTGGGACCGAGTAAAGCGAGGGTTGACTGTATATATATTTGTGTAATAAATGTATGTAGTAAGTATGTACAGTAATCTTTTTCACTCAAATCCTAATGAAACACTATTGAATTAGAATACTGTAGCTGGTTGAAGCAAGCTTATAAATTAAAGAAAATACTTGCAGTGTGTTTAATATATTACAGATGTTATAAATAAATAAATAAACAAACAAATAAATCGGTAAATCCATTTCAAGTAAATGAAACAATTGTATTCGACACTGACATTAGTTCAAGTTAAATAACAGACTTTTAAGTGAGTCACTAGTGTTTACACTACACCAACCTGTAACATTTGATGCCATTACTTGAAGTGAATTGGCCTTATTTTAAAAAACCAAGGATGTATAAACAGCACTGGTCAATGGGATGGTTGGTAAAGGACTACTGGGTCAGTAAGCTCCCAATGGTAAGTGTCACATTTGGGGTACCGGTCTTATACAACGAATAGGGCTCAAAAGCTACTTTGAAAATGGAAATTTTGCGGGCCGTCTTATACACCCCATCGCCTTGTAGGCCACGATATACGGTGTGTGTGTGTGTGTGTGTGTGTGTGTGTGTGTGTGTGTGTGTGTGTGTGTATATGTGTATATATATATATATATATATATATATATATATATATATATATATATATATATATATATATATATATATATATATATATATATATATATATATATATATATATATATATATATATATATATATAGTGAACCCTCACTTTACGCGGTTAATTCAACCCACGGCAGCCCGCGTAAAGTGAACAACATAATATATGGGATTAATTGAAATAGAGACCGGGCCGACCCCCAAACTCCACTTTTTCAGACACAATACCTACGTTGTAGTAAAAATAACTTCTTAATTTTATGATGGTATGCACACACAATTAATAATTAAGAAAAATATCAATAATATTAGGTTTTTTAACACTTACATTTGTAGAAAAGATGGCTGGGCACACGGGGATGGGGGGTTGGTTCCGAGGCAGAGGGCAGATTATTGGCCCTCACCTGTATCACTTGTATCAATTGTATCACTATCCACCACAGAGGCTTACAGGGCCTCTTTGTCAAACCCCTCAAAGTCCATATAAGTCCATATCCTCACTATCATTATCACTATCACTGACTTGGGCCGGCTGTGGTGGGTGGCGGGTGAAGAACTCGGTAATGTTTTGATGGCTGGGCGACCTTGTGTGCACCCTGCTCGCGCCGCTCTCCGCGTAAAAGGGTACACACACCGCGGAAAGTGAGCATTCCGGTTTCGGCAGGGTACCGCGTAAACGTGGAAACACGTAAAGTGGGACCGCGTAAAGCGAGGGTTGACTGTATATATATACAGTATATATATACTGTATATGTATACCTGGATCACACGCACCTACAGTGATTTACTTGCATATATATATATATATATATATATATATATATATATATATATATATATATATATATATATATATATATATATATATATATATATATATATATATATATATATATATATATATATATATATATATATATATATATATATATATATATATATATATATATATTTTTTTTTTTTTTTTTTTTTTTTTCCCCATGAAAATTGCCCCACACTTGGGAAAAAAATCATGAGATAAAGTGTTAACCAACCAAACAGATCTTCATTTTGGAAATAGGACAGTGGAAATTGTAGAGGGTAGTAAATAAAAATTTCTTTGCTTTTTTTTCAAATTTTTACACGTTTTTAATAAATTTTAGGCATGATGCCAAAATTACAGAAAAAATCTTTATCCAGAGACCCCTAGGTCCCAAGCATTACAGATAAAAGATACCATACTGTAGTAGTCATTACCTAATAATGCCTAGGTATTTTGGTGACTAGCAAATAGCTTTAGTGTAAAGCCAAAAATGGACATAAAGAAAAATAGAAACTGGGGAGGAGACCCACTCTCTCCCCATTTACTCAGTAACTTACTGTACATTCAACCAAATAACCAATTAACCTCCCTCATTTACTACATAACTTACTGTACATTCAACCAAACAACCAATTAACCTCCCTCATTTACTCCATAACTTACTGTACATTCAACCAAACAACCAATTAACCTCCCTCATTTACTCCATAACTTACTGTACACTCAACCAAACAACCAATTAACCTCCCTCATTTACGCCATAACTTACTGTACACTCAACCAAACAACCAATTAACCTCCCTCATTTACCGAACAACTTTCTTAAATTTACATTTGCTCAAAATTGTCAACTCTTGACTGTAGTTAAACAAAGCTGCAGTAAAAATATGGAATATATTTGTCTCAGGTTATTTAAGCTTTTTATCACTTATTCTGCCTGACTGGTTAAAGAGGGATGGTCTCATGTCACCATGCATCAGAAGTTTGGTGACTATAATGCTACAAAACTGAAATATGACTGATTGAAAAGCATAAAAAGTTATCAATTGTAAATGTCAACAATAACAACAACTGTAATACCAGGAAAGGAAAATACAGTATCATATATTACAGCTAGAAAATAATCAAGCATAGAATGAAGGAACTAACCTTGTCTGAAGCATAAACCGCATCAAACATCCCCATAACCGTGACTGACACTCCAATAGCAGGACCATTGACAACTGCTATCAGTGGTTTTGGAAAATCAATGAAAGCATTCACAAATCTGAAAAGTTTACAATATTGTTTTAAACTGAAAGCCTGGGGAACAAAAAGTGTTGAGTGAAAACAACACATCTCACCTGTAATTTACAGTACGATTACTGTACAGTACTGTAATGTCAAATCTAAAATACTAATGAACCAGTTAAGGTTGTACCAAAATATAACTGACTACTGTACTAAAATATAAATAAATTACATCATACTATTTCAACTGTGGAGGGGGGCTAACGCACGCATGTACACATACGTGCATGCACACGCACGCATGCACGTACACACAATGAAATTTACTAATACACAGCCACAGACTATAAGAAACATTAATGATGACACAGGCTCAATAATTCCCTTAAGGCTACAGTACTGTACTAAAATCTCTATGGAATTGAAGAACAAAACATAGAGCACCAAATGAAGAGTAGGAAAAATAAAATTACTGTACAAGGTATAGTGATATCTCCGTTAGCCGGAACAATTGGTCCAGAGCACTTCCAGAAATGAGAGACTTCCGGATAACAAGACGTCTCTCTCAAAACTGGAAAAATTTCCCAGACTCGGAATTTTCTGTGCACCAGAAAATTTTCTCAGAATTTCTGGAAAATGCACCAGGTTTTCATCTCTCAAACCTGGAAAAAAAATCCCTGATCCCCGGAATTTTCCGGGTACTAGGAAAATGTTCTCGGTTCTTCTTCTAGGATGCTCATTTGTCCCAGTATCCAGAAGGATCCTGATATTCCATGCAGTGACCACAAGAGGTTGTATAGTTTTTTGTTTGGATCTCTGATTATGATTGTGATTTTGACTGCATAAAGAGGACCTTACTGGGTGCGGTTGCCCAGTCAGGTTTTTTTTTTTAGGCAGGCTATGTTTAGGGCACCTTTTCTAGCCCCCTCCCCATGTGGGGTAAACAGAGTGGTTCCTCGAAAGGACTGCTCAGTCGCACAGACAGGACTGGATTGCACTGCCACCTAGGTCCCAGTGCATAAACTACCATCTTATCTGTGCCGCCCATGTGCAGAGTCGTGACAGACTCCCGGCAGTCATCTCTGCCTTTCCCCATTGCCACTTGTCCGTCGCCATAGGACATTTGGAGGTATAGGGGTTTTGATGATGATGAGTGGCATGATGAGCTTTGGCTGCACACGAGTTGATTTATGTGGTGAGGCAGGAGCGCAGGCTACAACCACACATCTTGGCTCTCTCTTTTCCTGATCCAGTGGTGCAACGACTGGGGAGAGGGAGAGTTGCAATGGACTGCCAACAGCCCAGTTTGTTGGGTTTCGCCTTGGCAGCGTATGCACGCGTGCATGTGCGCGAGTCTGTGTGCATGCGTGTGCATGCATGAGCATGTGCACACAGGGTGGTGTAATGTGCCTAGGGTGACAGCATTATGTTAGTGTTAAGTTGCAAACACTGCTTGCTTCCTCTTGCTTTCGGCTACCGCATTTGGCTAGTCCTCGTGGCGAACAGGGAAGCAAATTGCGTAAGTGTTTAGAAGTAGGTACATAACCTTAATGTTTGGATGAACACCATCTAATAATTCGGGATGGCTAGGTGCACTTCAGGCACAAAATGATTAAGGTACCAACCTTGCGAGAATTGCGTTTTTGGCGGTTTCGCCAAAAATTCCAAAAAGACAGGTCCGGGTCTTCAAAAGGGGACAATGTCACCCAAACCTTCTTATTAGCTTTCCAGATAACTGGAAGTGATGACTTGAAAACACCCTTTAAAGCTCTAAGATTTCATGACTGGTAGACAAGTAAAGGTTTTAGTTTGTAGCCCCCAGCACCATTTACCCCATCAGTAAGGTTAGCCTCTCCTTGGCAGCTTTATGCCCTGGTGCTGTTTTATCATGTTTTGAAAGGTATGTGCGTTCGGGCATCCTTTTACAAATAAACCAGTCTCAGCAATATTAAAAACTTGCTCAGCACAATAGCCTCCTCCTTCATTTACTTCAGCTAAAGCAGCAGGAAATTCACTAGCTGCTTCACCTTACACCTTAATGTTATTTGAAATTGCCATTGCCTTGAATCGGTTAAACCAGCCCCTACTAGCAACAAAATCTTCCCCATCACTTTCACCACCACGATTAGCCTTCAAGTCAGCATGCAAGCTTCTCAATTTTTTCCTGAATCAAGGCTAGACTTAGAGGCAGAAGCCGTTGATTTTGATTTCCACCCTCATCACTAACAATCTTTCCATTTCAATTAACAATCCACTTCTTTGTTTAGTTATCACAGTTGACTGCATTTGTGTAGATCCTTTAACATGTTTCAAGAATTTTCTCTCTCTCTTTCAAAATTGTTCCGACCACTGAGCGGCTGAAGCCCAATACCATACTGATCACTGAGGGCGTTTGGCCTTTTTCAGAACATTTAATTACATCGTTTCACTTCCATCTTAATTGTTTTCCTTTTCTTGGATGCACTACTATTACTTGAATCAGGTTTGCATTTAGGAGCCATGATGAGGGCTAAAAAAGAAAATTAATAAGCAAAAAATAAAAGTTTGCACTTGATCACACAGGTTACTGCAGAACACTGCTCCCAGTGATTATTTTGCTTCTATAATGTTGATATTACACTTATGAATGGGATAAATTATATATTCTTCCCAGTTATAAGTTGTTAAAGGAGAACCAAATATTCAGTATGTATGCATGTTTCATTCAGTGTTGCATGTCAGGCGCGCGTTCATGTGTGCTGATGGTGCAGTGGTGGTGGTTCAGTACGGGCTGTGAGAGGCAAGCAGCTGGCAAAACATCACCGCTATTGCAATCCAGTTAACGTCCCTAACATCACACCACATTTACTTGCTTCTCATTTAATTTATTTTTTTATTAACACTGTACACCCGCTAAAAAATTATTCGGCACCCGTGTCATATTGTATTACGGCGTAAGGGTGCCGAATAATTTTTTAGTGGGCGTACATACCTGTGTAGTATTTAGAGGGCTTAAATAAATATATATTTTTTTTTAATCCCTAATTTATGGTACACTATAATAGTATTAATGAATGTTATTTGCCAAGTTCAACATTCACGAGTGTCCCAGGAGCCTATCCCTTGCAAATGATGAGGTACTGGTGTATAAACCTCTGATGGTCCAGAAAAACCACTGGTCTAGCAATGGCTCTGGTCCCAAGGGTGCCGGAAAATTGGTGGTCAACCTGTATATAGCACCAGTTACAAAATTTTGGGAAAAACATCAGAAACACTCCTTAATGTTAACAAATTTGTTTCTATTTACCAAAGGATGAGCATGAGTAATCAGTGTATGTGTATGATCCAAATAAATCTGTCTGAAATTTGGGATTAAAGTATAAATAAATGAACTTATTCTTATTTAGTCTTACAAGTGTTTTTCCAACATGCTTCAAGGTGGCCAGAATCAAGAGCTAAAAAATATTCTCCTTTCATATGCCATTATCCATACTCTCTTATTGCTCTGACATCCACATAAACCATTTGACACCATGATTACTTGTCATTCACATCATCTGCTGCTTCCTGGATATATCTGAGGGTATAAAAGATTCCACTACACTTTTAATTGTGATAATTATCAGTCCCCTTTCCTGTAAGTTCAAGAAATCAATTTTGTTTTAAAAAAAATCAAGTTAAGATATATTCACCTGTTCAAAAGCTTTCCCGATTCCTGGGAATATTGGTGCATATTACTTGGATCAATATTGGTGAAATTGGAAAGGTCATTTCCTGAGCAATAGTAATCTCCAGATCCTGTGATGGCAGTAATAACTGTATTGGGATCTTCTCCTGCCTCTTTCAGAGCTTCAATCCACTCATTATACATCTGAAACAACAAAGATGGGCATTTTCTGAGAACAAAATTATGTAATCTCTTAATTCTTACACACCTTTTCTTACTATACTGCAAGGTGGCCAAAATCAAGAGCTTAAAATCTTTAAAAAAAAACTCTCCCTTCACTCACTGCCATCTAATCACTCGTAACTTCTGTGATATCATCTGAAAAACACTCAGTGCTCCACTTTCCTATTGTCCATGTGCCGGAATCCCTCAAACCCAGAACTCTCCGATAGCCGGAATTGAAATTTTCTCAGAAAATCATTCCCAAAGCTGGAATTTTCCGGAAAATTCCTGGGATGGGGGAGTTTTTTCCTGGACCCTCCATTAACTAGCAGTTCAATTTACGAGATTTCATTTAATGAGTTACTTCCCGTAAGGACTTTCAGTTCTATTAACGAGTACAAATTCTATTAACGACAGCCTTACGAGAAACACGTTTTGGTGCGTGTATCAGCTAATCGACTCGTCTCCAATAATCGGTTCTATTTTTACCTTTGTTTCCAATGGAGTAAACATCGAGAAAGTTGTGCTTTTGAATATTTTTGCATTTTTACATTAAAATTATTGGTCATTCTGAAATTTAGTTAACATAATGATAATACACCGTGCAGTGTTGGTTTAAATAAAAAAAATCTGGACCCAGATTTCATTAGATTTGGAAAAAAAAAATGGGGGGTTCTGGGCTAAGAAGCCTCCCCAAGAAGCATTCCCAAAACAGGGTGAAGGTAGTTTTAGGCTTAAAGTTTTTATCTTATAAAATGTCACAGACTAAAATAGCAGAATAAGCTTGCATTGCTGGAATCCTTGGAAGACAGCAAATAATTTGAATATAGACATCATATATTTTGCACACGAGATACAAATTTTAGTCCTTAAGTGTAGTAAATTTTAGTACACGGTTTCCAACTCTATTTTCCGGCAGATATACGCAAATTTCTTCATTTACATTTACTCATTTACATGCACACATCATCCTAAATACATATTGTTAATTATATTACCGATATACAGTACTTTGTATGTACTTTTTAATTCAATTTAAGGGAATTCTGTGAGTTGAAACCAATTACCCAATATCCCATTGAATTAATATTCAGTTAATGAGATTTTCAGTTAACAAGTGACTCTGTAAAACCAATTGTGCTCGTTAATGGAGGGACCACATATATATTTAAGAATGCATGATCCATGAGTAAATGTAAAAAGCATGTAACTGGTAACAGTTAGACTTGTGTAAAACTGCAATTAACTGTACAGTATATACGAGATTTTTTTCTTGAATGAAGATCCAAAGTCTTGGCACCCTCCACTAGATTTACAATGACAAATGTGGCCCAGATTTATAAAAGGTTGGGGATCACTGCCAAAGATTAATGTTAGCTCAATAAATCCTCTTTATATCCCCAACTCTGCTTCTTCTGACACACTTTCCTCTCTCTGTATATTCCTTAATGCACCTCTGCTATTCTATGATTCAATCTCTCACCCATTGTTCCATTCACTGACACTTCCATTTTCAATTATCTGAAATACCTTACTTCCTTCTTTCTATCTCTTTTTAAGTTGACAAGTACTCGTGTCTCCTTGTTTTACTTATTTTCAACATTTTACTCTTAATCGCACTCTTCCACTCATTCATTACCATATGAGACTTTTCTTTGGAACTGCTGTCTAGAACAACACCATCAACAAACAGCAAATGACTCACTTCCCAATTGCATTCTATATTTCTATTTAACTAATTTGCACCCTATTCCAGTATTCCAGCTTTCACCTTTCTTACAATCCCATCCACAATAATAATAATGTGTGGTAACATTCTACATCCGTAATACATATTTAGTTTCCCTGAGTACCAATTTCCTACATCCCAACACACTATCCCATACTTCACTCTTCCTTTCAAAACCCTGAATCAGATTTTACTACATGCATGCTAAATACCAGTGATCCCCTTAGTATATACACATTCTTCAGACATCAATGAACTTCATCTCCAGAATATTTAAATATAAATCAGTAACCAGATTTTCAGATAGTGCTCTTCATTTTTAGTAACATACTACAAAACTGAACCCTATAATTTACTTGTCACTTTTTTCTGAATGAGCTACTATAATTATATTCTATTAATAGCTATTACTTACCAGTTATAACACTACTCAATATGATAATAACACACCATTTACAGTTATTAAAGTTATCATTCAGAAGATTGATGCATATGCATGTAATGAATAAAAAAGCTTACTTCAACAGTGATGGCATTTTTCTTCTCTGGACGATTGAGTGTTATGATACGAAGGCCATTCTCACAGGACACCAGGATGGTTTTATATTTTTGACCAGATGCTGCTTGAGCTTCTCCTTTGCTTTCCTGCAAATGTATAAAAGGAAAAAAAATCATATTAGAACCAGTGTATGTGAACTAAAGACCAGCCTGTACATTTATTACCAAACAGGGAGGTACTACCGCCTGGGAAGATACTGAAAGCACAATGTGTTGTCTATGGTAGACCCTGCTGCCATATGGCATCACGAAATTTGTGACCAAGTCCCAAGTTGCTGTACTGACTTTCTGCCTCATTTACACACAATTGCAGGGTCTCAATTGTTTCTCTTACCATTGACAACACAACATACGGTACATATATTGTTTCTCACTCTATCTTTTTCATTTTTGTATTGTTATGGTTAGTTACTTTAAATAAGGTCTGTCTGTCTGTCTCTGTCTGTATGTATGTATATATATATATATATATATATATATATATATATATATATATATATATATATATATATATATATATATATATATATATATATATATATATATATATATATATATATATATATATATATATATATATATATATATATATATATATATATATATATATATATATATATATATATATATATATATATATATATATGTATGTATGTATGTATGTATGTATGTAATAATAATAATAACAATAATAATAATTAACGGTTTATTGAAAAAGTTCTGCAGCCCGAAGGCTGAAAATATACATTGGACATAAATGACTTATTACATACATTGGTGGTTTAACAAAAGCCTTCATTAGAGAAAGGTAAAGGAACATACAGTGAACATACAGATTAATGTAGGTGTTGAACAGCAAACTCTCTCCCAGATGGTGTTAGGAGGGACCTGATGTGGTGTAGTAATTCCCGCACAGATGGTGTTATGAGGGGCCTCACGTGTCGTAATTCCCTCATAGATGGTGTTACGAGGGGCCTCACGTGGTGTAGTAACTCCCTCACAGATGATGTTATGCGGGGCATCACGTGGTGTAGTAATTCCCTCACAGATGGTGTTATGAGGGACCTGACGTGGTGTAGTAATTCCCTCACAGATGGTGTTATGCGGGGCATCATGTGGTGTAGTAATTCCCTCACAGATGGTGTTATGAGGGACCTGACGTGGTGTAGTAATTCCCTCACAGATGGTGTTATGAGGGGCATCACGTGGTGTAGTAATTCCCTCACAGATGGTGTTATGAGGGACCTCACGTGGTGTAGTAATTCCCTCACAGATGGTGTTATGAGGGACTTGATGTGGTGTAGTAACTCCCTCACAGATGGTGTTATATGAGTGAGGTGTGGCCCCAGGCCTTCCTATAAGTGAACAGATTAACACATACGCCGGTTGTTGGGTCTCACGGGCGTTATCACTGGTACCTGGGACTTCACTGTGTGAAGGTTAACTTGAATACGACTTACTGTTGAGTTGTTCTCACTGACTCAAGCACTGTTCACCAATGTTCACCTCTGTTTAACACTGGTTCCATTCCTTTCCCAAATGAAATTGTAACTTCTAGAACCTGTTGATACTCCAGTGGGAGAAGTGGTTCAGGGAGGGGTTGGTATGGCCAACAACAGTTGACCTGGCTGCCTCGAGAGGAGCTAGGTACGCCTTGACCCCTTTCGTGGTCAGTGATGTAGTATGTATGTATGTATGTATGTGTGTATGTGTATATATATATATATATATATATATATATATATATATATATATATATATATATATATATATATATATATATATATATATATATATATATATATATATATATATATATATATATTTCAAGTAAATATATTTACTATCACAGACATTACTTCCAGTTACTGTAATAGTGACTCCAGTGACGCCACTAGTGTTTACACCACACCAGCGGTAACATTTGATGACATTATTTAGTGAATTGGCCTTATTTTAAAAACCAAAGATGGTTGGTAAAGGACTACTGAGTCAGTGGGTAAGTGTCACATTTGGGGGTACTGGTCTTATACAGCTTAATAGAGCCTCAAAAGCTACTTTTAAATGGAAATTTAAAATATTATATGCAATATATATATATATATATATATATATATATATATATATATATATATATATATATATATATATATATATATATATATATATATATATATATATTATATATATATATATATATATATATATATATATATATTATATATATATTATATATATATATATATATATATACAGTTTTCACCGCCTAACGCATGTTTCAACTTAACGCTTCCAAGCATATACGTGCCTTGCCAAAGCTGAACTTTCACTTAACACGATTTTTTCCCACATATACGCGGTGAGTGTCCTAGACGCTATTTTAGATTTGCCCCACCCGCCACCCTGCCTGACTGCCTGTTTTAGCTCATAAAATTCATACAAATTTAATAGGCCAGAATATAATTTACATTGCTGAATTTTATAATTTGGTGATCATTTTGAATATAAACATCATATTTTGCTTTAAACTTACAATTTTAGATAAAATTTTTTTCTAGGTAGCTATGGTCCTTTTTTGTCCAAAATATATGACATTTATATTCAAAATATTCCTGGTCTTATAAGTGAATCCAGCAATGTCAATTATATTATCCTAACTTTAGTTTGAGGTATTATTTATTAAAATTTAGTGGTTATCCCACACATCTCCTTGGGACGGTTGGTGGGGTGGGGGGAGGAGGACCAACCGACCATCTGTTACCCTGTGAAGAATTATTATTTTTTTATTAACTGAAGATATTTGTTTTAGCTCATAAAATTCATACAAATTACCCGGTCAGAATATAATTTACATTGCTGAATTCTTATAATTTGGTGATCATTTTGAATATAAACATCATATATTTTGCTTTAAACTTACAATTTTAGATAAACATTTTTCTCTAGGTAACTATTATCATTTGTGAAAAATATATGACATTTATATTCAAAATATTCCTGGTCTTCCAAGGAATCCAGCAATGTCAATTATATTTTCCTAACTTTAGTTTGAGGTATTATTTATTAAAATTTAGTGGTTATCCCACACATCTCCTTGGGACGTTGGTGGGGGTGGGGGAGGGAGGGACCGACTGACCATCTGTTAGCCGGCTGTGTAGTGTGAGAGGGAGGGAGTTGAGTCCATTATTTGAATGGACATTAACTTGGCGACTGTATTTCATTTTAAGTATTAATTGTGTGCATGTACCATCATAAAATTAAGATGTTATTTTACTACAACATAGGTATGTGCCTTAAAAGTGGAGTTTGGGGGTCACGGTTTCTATTGGAATTAATCCCATATGTTCTGTTGTTCACTTAATGATTTCACTTAACACGGACCCTCTGGGTTCAATTGACCGCTAAGGGGTAACAACTGTATATATATATATATATATATATATATATATATATATATATATATATATATATATATATATATATATATATATATATATATATATATATATATATATATATATATATACCAAACCCTGACTTACGACGGGGTTAGGGACCCAAATCCAGGTCGTAAGTCCGATATGGTCGTAAGTCCGATATAGATAAAAAAATTTTTTTTTTTTTAATAAAAATCTACAATGAAATACAGTACAGTAAAAGTAATGAATAATGATGAATGGATACAGTACAGTGAAAGTAATAAATAATAAGGAATGGATACAGTGTGACTGAGCACTTAACCTTTAATGTAGTCAGCTGAATGCACATGGGGCCCCATAATTTTCTAATTATACATGGAGACTACATTAACTGGAAACGTTTTGGTATAGAAAATGCGTAACATTAAAAAAATTTTTTTTTTTTAATCTATATCTGAGGCGGTCGTGTCCCGACGGTCAAGTCCACGTAGTCGTAAGTTATTAGGTGTATATATATATATATATATATATATATATATATATATATATATATATATATATATATATATATATATATATATATATATATATATATATATATATATATATATATATATATATATATATATATATATATATATATATATATATATATATATATATATATATATGCAAATAAATCATAGGTGTGATAGGTATATGCTGATAACCACAAGGAAAGAAGAAAACACGAAGTTCCTAAGCGCTGTAATTCACATCTTCAGGTGAGTACAGACTAGAGAGAGTAATACAAATCAAGGTGTATATAACAGAGGAGGGTGAGACCAGGTCCACAATGGTCAGGTATTAGTTAATGACCCTACTAATTTTAAATAGCACAAGGGTTGGTGGTCAGGTCAGATGGTCATGACCCGCCTTTCACCTGATCACAAATCTTCTTAATTACAAAATTGTCCAGCTTGTACATGCCGCTACTCTAATTCATGTTGAATGCTTCGTATGTTTAATAAGACTAGATTCTATGATGTTCCTACTATCAATTGAATTACATGGTAATATTGAGGAGGCATTATCCCAGTCAATGCAATGCTTGTTATCCCTCAAATGAACAAACAGAGCATTGGATTCCTGGCCTGTCCTACATGTATTTGTGTTGTTTAAATTTCTAGTTAAAGATCTTTACCTGTCTGGCCTAAGTAAAACATATTACATTCCTTGCAAGGAACTTTATAAATGCAACCAATTGTGTTGTTGGGGAGTTCTTGATTAACATTTGTTTGACAGTGCATGAGTTTTACCTGACCATTGTGGACCTGGTCTCACCCTCCCTCTGTATATATACACCTTGATTTGTATTACTCTCTCTAGTCTGTACTCACCCCTGAAGATGTGAATTACACTAAAAGCGCTTTGGGAACTTCTGTTTTCTTCTTTCCTTTGGAAAAAAAATATATATATATATATATATATATATATATATATATATATATATATATATATATATATATATATATATATATATATATATATATATATATATATATATTTAATATACTTATTCACACTATTTTATAATCGCAGTCATGTACTGAATATTCTATGTACAAAAATAAATGTTAAATGAATTATTTATGGTGCATTAGGGTACTGGTCACTTCAGACACAATCCGGCTATAAATAGGGCTTTTTCATCTCCTCCATCTCACCCTGAGCCAGAGGGAAGGGTTTTGTAATAACATTTGTTTGCTTATTTTCCATTTACTTGAAATAGATTTACCAATTATTTGTTTATTTATTTAAAAGTCATTTACTGAATATTCTATGTAAAAAATAAATTTTAAATTAATTATTTATAGGAGATAAGTATTATGATCAGTAAATATATGGTATTACTGGCCACTTCAGACACAAAGACGGGATAAAAATAGCCCATCTTATAGATGGGCACCTACATTGAAGACCGCCGCTGAGCACGTAGCCACAGCCGATGACGCGATGCTCACAAGGGTACATGATCCAATCATGGAGGACATGGAGCGGCTTCTCCAACTCTGGACTGAGGACCAGACAACACTGAATGCCTCTCTCAACCATCACTATTGGGGCCAAGGCATGCAAGCTGTGACAGTACCTGAAGGACACAAATCCAGGGAGTTCTACTATCAAGTAGTTCAAGGCTAGCTCAGGGTGGTTTAAGCTGTTTAAGGTGAGAGTGAATCTTCATAATTTAAGCCTGACGGGTGAAGCAGCCAGTGATGACGAGGTGAGTGCTCAGGCCTTCCCAAAACTCCTTAAGGCAATGATCGAGGCAAAAGGATACACCCTCAGCAAGTCCTCAACTTTGATGAAACAAGGCTGTTCTGGAAGAAAATGCCTTCCAGAACATTTGTTGCCAAGGAGGAAAATAGGGCATCAGGGTTCAAGACAATCAAGGACCGTCTGACACTACTGGTGTGAGGCAATATGGGGGGTGATCTGAAGCTCAAGCTGACGCTTGTCTACCATGCAGAGAACCCCAGAACGCTGAAGGGTTACATTAAGAATCATCTTCCAGTCATTTGGCGCTCTAACTTCAAGGCATGGGTGACCACTGTGCTGTGCCAGGGCTAAGTGGTTGGCAGCCTCTCCAACCAGCTCAAGGAGTATGCCTACAGTAAAAACATCTCCCCAAAATTTCTGCTAATCCTGGATAATGTGCCTTTGCACCCTGTCAGCATGGAGGGTTGGGCTAACAACATTGAGGTGATGTTTCTCCAGCCTAACACCACCTCACTCATCCAACCCATGGATCAGGGTGACATCACCACCTTCAAGATATTATCTGCAATGTGTTATCAAGGAGATCGACAACATCAGTGCACTGTGGAGCGAGGTGAAAGCGTCAAAACTGAATGGTGTGTGGCATAAAATTTGGCCTGAGTGTGTGCATGGCTTCACTGGGTTCAAGAGGGTGGAGAGAATGTTCAGCACAACATTGTGGCCCTACCAAACCAGGCCGGGTTTGATGAGGTCAACCAGGATAACATGACTGAACTTCTCAACAGTCACACCGAGGAGCTTAGCCAAAAGGACTTCATGAACCTGGAACAGCAGCGAGCGATGGAAGAGGAGGAAGTTGAGTTAGAAGAACCTGTCAAGTTCCTCATTATGGACATTGTTATGTAGCACCAAATATATATTGAATTACCGGTTCAGAGGTAATTACCCTAATTGTTCAGTAGGTAGGGCTATATTCTATATTACTTTGTTCCAGTATGCAATAATTGTTTAATATGTTAAATATATTGATCTATAATATGTATGTATTAAATAAATCAGCCTATGTCTTAGTTAGGCAAAATATGTAATAGATAGGGAAAATAGTTTGATTATTGGCGATGTGATATCAGCACTGTGTTGGTTAACAGGTCCCTAGCTCAGCCGGTGAGTGGGAAGCGGCAGACGGGCCTAGTTGGTGTTAGAGTTTGGTCAAAATCTGGCACATTTGGTTTGGACTCAGGATATATGTACAGTATATGGAGATAAGTGGTTTATTCTTTTGTACTGTTCAAGAATATGGTAAGGCTGAGTTTAGAATTTAGGTTAATTTAGGCAGTGGTTTGTATTTAAATTGTTCTTTTACTTGTCTTTGTAAATACGTTCCCAATTTTATTATATTAAGAAATTTTGCAGTGTATGATTCCTCCTCAATATGAGTTAATCTGAGGCTTATTAAGAACCTGGCAGATATAATATTAATTATAGTGTTTACCCTGCTTGCTGTTGTGACCACTAGTGGCAGGGGTTTGTTTCTTTATGCTTTCATGATCAAGCTCTCTTATTTGACTAGTGGCAAATTCACGATAAAGAGGAATGATGGCATAACAATATGTTGTAGCTAAACCTTTCCCATATTGATGGAGCACCTACTAGTTTCTCTGAACATGATCCATACCCGAACTGGAGTCCGGAGGTGAAACATTTGGTGGAGAAAGATATCAAGTGCTACAGAGACCTCTACATAGAAAAGCAACAGACGACATGTCAGGTGCCCATCACCAAGTTGTTCAAGCCAAACCAAAACCCAACAATGCCACAGCACCTTCATCTTCACTCACTCCAAGCCAAAAGCTCTCACCCTGCCCCCACCTGTGACAGTGCTGACTCTCTAGCCTCACTTTCCGACCCTTAGAGTTTGTGTCGGCCCTAGCACAGTAGACCTCCAGCCTCGGGGAGGACACATGATGACTTTGCTTCTAATGTGGACTTGATGAGTGTTACTTTACTGTAGTGTACCATAGTTTATTATTATAGCAAATTATACATCTTTTCCCTCATTTCATCCATTTGGCCTCTTTTCAGTCCCCACAGGACATGAGACAGCAAACAGCTGGGAGATCCCCAGGCAGCTCCTCACGCCCCTTCTCACCGACTAACTGTGGACAACTAAGAACTGTTTATTCCATTTATGTTTTTGACATTAAGATAATTATTTTTATTATTTTGTTTGCACAACCTGCATGAACGATTGTGTGTGCATGTAATAGAGTAAAAAAAAAATAAGAAAATTACATATATCTACCTGAACTTACGAGTTAAAATATTACAGCTCACAGCCTGGCCTCACCCACTCTGAGTGCTACTGGGTGGCGAGTCAGTCAGTTGGTGACTCAGCTGCACAATTACGTCCATGGATAATATTCCACGTTACTCCTTGTTTAAGATATTATTTCTCATTTCTGTTGACTTAGCAATCAATTCACTTAGCGATCTTTTTTCAGGAGTGCATCCTGATCACTACACGATGGATACCTGTACCCTGCACTATACAGGTATATGAATAAAGTCTCATAACCCTATACATTCATCATACTAGCAAATTTCCCAAAATTGTGCACTTAATGTACAATACAGCTCATACCTCTTCTCCCACAAGAGAATGAACTAGCTCAATGTAGGCATTTTGAGCATCTTCTTGGCTCATCTTGCCAAGTGTATTCCAAGCATCCCACTTTGCACCAACCCACAAAGTCCATCATCCCTGGACGCTTAGTTGTTACTGCTCCAGATGTTGACTGCTTGAATAATGCATAGATCTTCAATTTAACATCATTACCTGCAAAGACAATATTTTGTAGAATAATAAATAATAACTAGTAAAAATAAAAAAAAAATCAAGCAACGTTAATATTTAACTGCTTTACATTTGTTATGCAAGTGTTTGCATTCAAACTATGGCCAGGGTAATAGTACTTTTCAGGCCCCCTTGGAAACAGCCAAGGAGGACCAGCACTCCACTTGCCAAATTTGAAAAACGCAGCTCACAGCTGCAGAAGTTTATTGTTGGACAAATAGACTACCCCAACGGAGATGTTTATACATATTATGGTGTAGATGTGAAAACAATAAAATAATGCTAACCTAATGATACCCTAAGGGTATAATGCACTATCAAATACAGGTACAGCATGCCCTTAAAATTCGCGGGGATTAAGTTCTCAAAATGGCCGCGAATAGCCAAATCTGCGAATAACATTTGCTGACCGAGGAGAGGTGGGTACATTTTTACCCGTGTGTAAAGAAGTGTATATTCCCTTTATGTGTTTGCCCTTATGACAAATATTTCTTTTACCCTACAGTATTGTATATATATATGTGTGTGTGTGTGTGTGTGTATGTGTGTGTGTGTGTAGACACACACACACAAAACACAAACAAAATAATAATGGAAAAGTCCTTTCACAGATAATCAGAAACAAGACAAAAATTTTTGAAAAAATTTTCGAGTCTACCCTCAAGTTAACACCGTACTTTGTTATTAAAGTTAACTTTAATAAAATAGCACGGAGTTGACTTGAGGGTGGATTCTCACATTTTTTCTACACTTTGTTGTCTTGTTTCTGATTAATTGTGAAAGGATTTTCCCATTATTATTTTTCTGTGTGTGTCTACACACACACAATACTGGCAAAAGAAATTACTGCCTCTAGAACGAATGGCTACCTGTTCCGTCCGCGAAAATGCCAGCAACTTTAAAACTACCCTTAGACATTCTTGGGTCCATCCAAGGTGTCATCCGCGAATACCGGTAATCGAGGTCCACGAATTAAAAATCCGCAAATTATCAGGGAATGCTGTACTGCATAAGAGAATCCTTCACAATACCAGTGTACAGTACCATGTATCAGAAGTTTTGTATAAATTCAACAAAGGAAAGAATGTTTTTCTGCACTTACCAGGATCTTCCTTCAGTGATCCAAGCTTAGCTTTAGCCTCTTCAAACTGTGGGCTCAAGACACTCATGAGTCGAACCTGAGTTATCCCTGTCCATGTTGGGATGTGCTGGCTTGTTGTTCCCATGAGAGTACGAATACCATGTCTGAGAAAGAATTACAACATTAAAAATTGCTTTCCTATACAGTACTGTACTTAGTAATATTATATCAGATGTGCATTAAATTCCTGTTCATCTCACTTTACCTTTAAATTATTCTTTAATTAAAATAAAATGTAAAAATGCATCAATTACAAACCAAAATTTTCATTCAACTAATTTTGACAACTGGATACTGATGTGAACTCATTTATCTTTATACAAACCTGGAGAACATAAAAATTACTGGCTGTCTGAATTTATAAACATTGTTTCAAGACAGTTGATTTCATGTTGTACAGTAACAGTAAAAAAGCCTAAATGTTGCCATCAATGCAGTACAGTCACCATCCACTTAAAGTATATCCGCAGATACATTTTATAATGGTACATCTGAAGATTTTTACATTTGGGTACTTTTCCAACTCTTACAGTCAGCGTTGTCAATCCGTGAGCTGTGAACTCCGAGTATCGACTCGTGAATCCGAAGCATTCACGAGTGAAGGGGAAAGGTGGTCCGGGGGATTACGGAGGTCGGTGTGTGAGCAGGTGGCGGGTTATGGGGATTAAAGAGGGTATTCAAGGCTAAAGAGATGGGAAAGGTTTAAGGGGTTACTTGTGCATTTACAACGTAGTATGTAGTAAGCAAGGTTATAAATATGTAGGGCAAGACACAAATTATGCTTAAAATGTTTTACTGCACAGTAGGATGGTATTCCCAGCTTGTGCTATAGGTCTGAGCAATATATGGATATCTATTTATTACATCTCCTCCCCGACTTACGACCCGCCTCAGTCGTACCAAAATTTGGTCAAATTACGTATTTTTGAGTCCCAAAGTCAGTACACAGACAAAATTTTCGTTTGAAATTCACTTTAAAATGGCTGGCAAGCTTAAAAGTGAGTGTTTTGTGGTGCTGAGAAGAAAAAGAAACCCATTTTAGATTTTCTATGTATTATTTAAGCATTTCCGACTTACAACCTGGATTTGGGTCCCTAACCCTGTCGTAATTCAGGGAGGAGCTGTATTTATTTGTCTATTTATTTATATATTAATTTATTTTCTTTTATACAACTCTCACATAATCTAGTGGTGATAGGGGGACGGGTTGGAGTCTCAATATGGTGTCCTTTTATGACAGGGAGACTTTAATGACCAAATACGTAACAGGTATACAGTATATTTGATTCAAATTACATTAGCATCAAATTATTAATATTTTGTAATTTGAAATAAAACATACCAAAGAATTTGGCAAACTACAGGTACTCCTCGACTTACGACAACCCGGACATACAACCGCCGTGGTCGTATAAAATATTTTTCAAATTACGTATTTTCTAGTACCGACGTTAATGATTGAGCTGTGTACTGACAAAATTTTTGTTTGTATTTCCCTTTAAAATGGCTGGCAAACGTAACAGTGAGAGTTCTCGTGGTGCTGAGATGCAAAAGAGACGCCCATTTTAGAATTTCTATGTATTATTTTTGCCTTTTCGACTTACGACCAATTCGACTTATGACCTGGTCATCGGGACGGAACCCCGTCATAAGTCGAGTGTCATGGGTTGCGTTAGGCTTACCCACGCAACCAACTCCAAAGTTTGTTTTACCAGAGATAAGACGCCCGGCGAGGCATAACTGGGACATGTATTTTTCAATTAGTATATGTTAGCCAGCCTTTAGGGGGGTGGGCAGTGAAACAGTGTTGTACTGTTCATCGCTTCACACCCAAAAAACCTCATTTTAAGTAGTATCCCCTGAGCCATGGGTTAGTTAAGACGTCGTCTCCATCCTCTCCCTCCTGAAAGGGGGCGGGACACGACACCACACCACACCACACAGAGTCCTCCACCGCCACTCCGTCCTGTGAACCGTCGTCGACACGAGACTAAGCGTGTTAACCTAGGTTGTTGTCCCCGTGGAAATATCACGTGTGGATGCCTGGTTGCGACAAGAGCAATCCAGGCTGGCCTATCAAACCTACAGTAAATGGTTAATCAATTCACGCTTACAGAGTTCTCCTGCACGACACCCGTCTACAGTGACCGTGATCGACATGAGACTAAGTGTGTTAAACTAGGTTTGTTATCCCCGTGGAAATATCACGTGTGGAAGCCTGGTTGCGACAAAAGCAATCCAGGCTGGTCTATTGCACCTAAATGGTTAATTCAAGTCACGCTTACCAGTTCTCCTTGCCGCGATAACCGTCTACAGTGACTGTCAGTGAAGCGAGACTATGTGTGGTAACCCAAGAGTACTTTTTGTTGTTATGGCCGTGGAAAGAAGTTCTTGTGATGAAGCCTGGTTGTAACAAAAGCAATCCAGGCTGGCAGTAAATGTATCAATTGAAGAATTAGGGCTCTGTTAAGTCATACCTACAGTAGAGTAATCACACGTGTTCCCAAGTTGATAATTACCTCTTTTAGAAGATTAATTTTAGTACAGCGTGAACGTGAGTGACTCATATATCCATGCAAATTGTAAATCATTGTATGGAAGCTTGACAAATACATGTAAGTGCAATTATCTGCCCGTATCTGTGATCCTATCTTATTATTACTAAAGGTAATGACTGATTGGTTATGACAAAGTATAACCAATAACTTAGATGGATGTTGAAAATTAAATGAATTCATTAAATCATCATTTATCAAGTATAAATCATGGAATGTCGAGTGGTGGAGTGAACTTCTACGTAGATACGCCATAATCTCCTGTAAGTAACCAGTGTGAAGGTATCGAACTCTACGGTAAGAAATAAGAAATACGACATATTATTATCTTTATATAATATAATCCACTCATACTTACCACCGATCCATACGAAAACCATGACATCGAGGAGAGACTATGTTTATTATAAATAATATTAATGTATTGAATAACAATGGTAAGTCAGTTGGCAGCAGTTCCACCTGTTGCAAGCATTTCCTGTGTGGTTATAGTTTTTTAATACAGTCATGCCATTTATTCATTGAGTGTTTACGCTTGTTCTCATTTACAGGTTGATCAGTAGTCATAGCCTCGCACAGGTCCCTCCCTTATTAGGGTTGTGTGCAGGTTAACGCTTAGCAAGGCATCATATAGATGTACTTTATCTTTATTCAACATAACCTCCCCAGAATGTTAGAGGTATTACATAAATACATATACAGTTTTGTTTTAAAGTAACTGTATTTTGAGACCTCTGCATCTCACTAAAACATGTTGGTAATTGTAGGGAGTAGCCTTCACAACTCATTAGAACTTCACCTCTCTCCCCAGGCTGTGGTAGTTGGGAAATTTTTATTCAATAATGTAGTACAATGCTCCCTCGCCCAACACGGGTTTGTCCAAATCACTTTTGAATATATGCGTTTCAATATATGTGACCAAATAATTAGCCCAACATGGAAAATTTGAATATAAGCAGGTTAACAAGGCACCGCTTCCGCCCTCCTCCCTCCGCTCCACCAGTTGGAGATGCCCGTCAAGCAGCAGCCACTCATCTTTCAGTCTTGCTTACATGCTTGCACCGCCAACATTGTAATAAAGCGGTTCCAGACTTTGTGTGTTTGCCTTTGCAAATGGCCCCCAAATGCAGAAGTGATGCTAGTGATGGGAGCATACCCAAGAAAAGTAGGAAAGTGATGACACTAGTCGAGAAAATAAAGATTTTAGATCAGCTACGTGATGGAGCGCGTGTAACAACGCTTACTAGTGAGAACTCTATAAATGAATCCACCATACGCACAATTCGTAGTTGTGAGAACATACGTTAAGTGTGATAGCATCTGCATCTCTTAGTGCTAAGGTGGCTCAAATATCAAGGAGGAATCAGTACGTAAAAAAAATTAAAACTAATAAATATTTTGATAAGTGGACAAATGAATAGGAAAGGATCTGTTGCCAACAGCGTAGCAATACGTGAGAAATCACATAGCTTGTATGCTCATGTTGTGAAAACTGAGGGGGCAGGGAGTGATGGTGTGACTGTGACTGATTTCCAAGCAAGCAAAGGTTGGTTTGAAAATATTAAACTCTGCTTTCCTTTACATATTGTGAAGCTTCAGGGAGAGGCTGTATCAGCGGATAAAGAGGCTGCCGAGCACTTCTAGTCCATGCTGCTTGAATTGATCAAGGACAAAGGATATGTCCCAGAGCAAGTGTTTAACACTGATGAGACTGGCCTCTTTTCTAAATGTATGGGTAACTGAACCTACATTACAAAGAACTCAAAAGTTGCTGCAGGGTTTAAAGCTTTTAAAGACAGGCTGACACTGTTATTTGTAGTAATGCAGCTGGTGAATTTAAGTGCAAACCCATGCTTGTGTATCGTTCGGCAAATCCCCGGGCGTTAAAAGGTAAAATAAGCTTCATTTGCCTGTTGTTTGGAAGTCTAATATAAAGGCCTGGGTGACTAGGGTGCTCTTTAATGATTGGTTGCAGCATCATTCTGTGCATTACGCCAAGGAATATCTCATGAAGAAGAATTTTGACTCAAAGGTGTTACTATTGTTGGATAATGCCCCAGACGATGGTGCAGAAACACTTCAGTCCATGCATCCCAATGTGGAAGTTATGTTCTTTCCACCCAATACCACTTAAATTTTGCAACCAAGAATGTTTTACTGCAATTAAGACATTTAAGTCAAATTACACGAAGAATGTCCATAACCAAGCAACTGAAGCAATACAGTTGTGTATTTATCATCACTTAATAGATACTATTACAGTGTATTTATCACCACTTAACCCTCTAAGCCTCAGAGTCTGAGACACATACTATACGTGCATGAAAACTTACGCTCAGCCTCGGAGGTTGTTGCCAAAAAAAATTTGAAAAATATACAGTATATATTTTTTAGGGTTAATTTCACTGCCATGTAATTGTTTTACTAATTGCATTGGGGTCTCTTCTGGTGTAAAATTGTGTGAAAAATCGTATGAAGCCATAAAATATGGAAAATTCTGGAAATTAAAGCCACTGTTTTTCAAGTATAAGTTGAAAAAGTAGGAAAAT